TGTAAAAGTTATGTGGAGGGCATCTGAAAAGAAAACAATACCTTGTTGATAGTTACAGTAGGAGAAGTCTCTATAGCAGCAGAAATGGGACGACCTTTAAAAGAGATGGGCTCTCAGTTGCCATGGACTTTGGTGCCTTCCTATCCAAGCTAGTGCTTTAAGTCATGTAGGCTACTGCAGTAATTGCTGCTACTGGAAGGGAACAAGTGGTACCAATAGAAAGAGGGTATTTGCCAAAGGAAAAGCTGAGGGTGACTGAGACCAGGTAATTGGCCCTCGCAGAGGCTGTTTGGGATCTGCACAGCTCCCACAGAAACTCCTTTCTGAAACAATCTTTGTTATTGAACAGGGTGGTTGTAGAGGAATCTGTTTCCTTAGGAAGAAACCTGTAGGCTGTAGTGTATTAATGTCTCTCCTGTCCTGCAAAGCAGAAAGCATCAGAAAATAGCACACAACAGGGGAGACGGCAGAGGCTGCACAGCAAATTCTTGAGTCTTTTTGGACTCTGACTCATTCTAAATACGCACTTAGAGCTGAAAATAACACATCTGCTTCTTTAAAAACAAAACAACAACATCAACAACAACAAAAACCCACCCAAACAAGCATGATGCAGTTTTATAATCTTTAACCAAAGATCAAATGGGTGTTAACTATGTTTGTAATCCATGCTTTATATTTTATCCTTTAAAAAAAAAATAATCACGATTGTATTGATTGACTATACCACATCAATTTACTCGTGGCCCTAAAACTTCAACTTGCTGCTCAAATATTATGCTTATTTACAAGAAAGTTTGCTGGTGGCACTAGCCCCTTCTCCTTCTCACAGCTCTAGAATGAAAACACCAGGAGAAAATAAGGTTTCACGTGTTTGATTTTTATTTAAAAATGAAGATAAATGTGAACCTTTTATCCTTACAGCAATAAGAAACATAAAGATCAGAACCCATGCTTCAGCAGATGCCATGACAGAAACCAGCACTGAAAGCCTGCCCTTCAGTTTGATTTCCAATTGATTTAAAAAAATAAGAAACTAGCCCCTTCTCACAGCTCAAAAACGAAAACACCAGGAGAAAATAAGGTTTCACGTGTTTGATTTTTATTTAAAAATGAAGATAAATGTGAACCTTTTATCCTTACAGCAATAAGAAACATAAAGATCAGAACCCATGCTTCAGCAGATGCCATGACAGAAACCAGCACTGAAAGCCTGCCCTTCAGTTTGATTTCCAATTGATTTAAAAAAATAAAAGATGCTCCAGGCAAATACCCTTCCAGTGCATGCTGTCAGATGAACTGCAAAATCAACGGATCCAAATATACTCCTTATAAATGAGCTTTCCTGGTGCCAGAAACATTGCACCTGAAATAAAAAGAGTCATCGCAGAGTGTTGCCATGTTCTGGTGAATACTAAAAAAGCAAAAAAAGGCAACATACTTTCCAGCGTTGTTTTCATACTCATACCAACTTTGTACCAGTAACTGACGAGATGCTACAGGCAAATAGCCTTCCAGTGCATGCTGTCAGATGAAGCCACAACTGCAAAATCAACGGATCCAAATATACTCCTTATAAATGAGTGTTCCTGGTGCCAGAAACATTGCACCTGAAATAAAAAGAGTCATCGCAGAGTGTTGCCATGTTCTGGTGAATACTAAAAAAGCAAAAAAAGGCAACATACTTTCCAGCGTTATTTTCATACTCATACCAACTTTGTACCAGTAACTGCGTGTGTGCATCAAAAAATATGTTTTTACCACTGCCAATAGCACCCACCTTTCTTTTTTCCCTGGTGCTGTCTTTGCCGGGCTGCTTCACTATCCACTGGCAGTGGCTGTGGCCCTCTTCTTCCAAAAGACATCCTCAGAGGACGGAGCAGTAAGGTTTTAACTGCTCCATGAAGACTTTGCTTTTAGGAAATAAAGCCCTATTTGTGTTTCCTTTGCTTCTTTGAACATCTGGAGAGTTATGCAGTTTCTGGCAAGGTTGAGAGCTCTTGGGTAAAAAGGGCAAAAAAGTTATGCCGAGGCAGGAAAAGAGCTACAAGGACCTTACTTCAGAAGAGGAACTGGAGGAAACTGAGAAGAAAGGAACATTTATCTTCATAGCTCAGACAGCTGCAAAGGCAGCTCTTTAGCTGCTCATATCACTGCATTTGTTCAGGTTTGAACAGTTTCATCTGGCTTTACAACTTCCAGGCTTTATTGTGCTTCCATATAAGTCATATTTCTCTTCCGGCCAAACCATAAAGCATGCATGTCTTTTAAAGATACTCTTCTTTAGAAATAAATCCTAAGGTAACGTTCTCTCCTGCTGAAGCATCTTCAGATCAGGCAAATACCCAAGGTGTTTGCAGAAGCTTCCTGGTAGCAGCTATGGGCAGGACACAGATGGAGTGAAAGACCTGCTAGGACAACCATTGCAGGTTGAGCGGAGCAAAGATAGGTGCTATTTTACTCACTCAACCAGATAACCAAGTTTAGTACTAAATTATTTTTATTTTTACAGATGAGTTGGCTTTACATGTGAAATGACAAAGCCTGGGCTTTTTTCTAATCAAAGTTGCACATGTAGAAGAGCTGGTAATGACAAATAATGAAACTCAGTTTCATAAGATCTCAGTGAAATCTTCAGATCAAAAGATTAGTAAGATTGAAAAAAAATTACCTGATATTCATAAATCTGGACAATTTATTAGCCATAAAGTGGTTAGTGCCAGCAAACTGTACCTTAAGGACTGAACCAACTGGAAACCACTAGCTCCAGTACAAAGTGCAGTCATTTCACATCTGTTCTAACAGGAGGTTGCTTTTACCTCATCTGAAAGTGGTAACTTTGACAAAGACTAATTTTGGAAACAGGAAGCTATGTGCTAATTCCAGTGAGATAACTAGGCATTCTCTGTTAGTTCTGCAATACTGGAGGGAAAAAAAAACAACACAAAACCAGACAAAAAAACCAAACTTGTTTTGATAAGATGTGATTAGAGAGTATTTACTCTGAGGAGTACCAATTCTTGTTCTTTTTGTCGAGGGCAACTTCTTACATGATGCTTAACAACTGCTACAAACACTCTGTGAAAGGCCATCCTTTGAGCAACACTAATAATTTCCTGTGTGTACACATAGCACTAATGAGTAGATCCATACTGCTGGATTACACAATGCATGTGCATATATTCAATCTTGCCTTCTGGGCTTGGAGTTCAGAAAAAAGGGGGACAGCAACAACGATGTCATCTTGAGTCCTGTCGTGGTTTAACCTCAGCCAGCAACCAAGCAGCGCAGAGCTGCTGCCTCCTCCTTCCCCCATCTTTACATGCTGAGCATGACATCGTATGGTATGGGATATCCCTTTGGTCAGTTGGGGTCAGCTGTCCCAGCTGTAACCCTTCCCAACTCCTTGTGCACCCCCAGCCTGCTCGCTGGTGGGGTGGTGTGAGGACCACAAAAGGCATTGACTCTGTGTAAGCCCTGCTCAGCAATAGCTAAAAGGGCCCTGCAATATCAACACTGTTTCCAGCACAAGTCCATAATATAATCCCATACTAGCTACTGTGAAGAACATTAACTCCATCTCTGCCTAAACCAGCACAACTCCACAAATGTTAATGACCGGAAAAAACACCCCCTGCCGTCCTCAATGGACTCTCCAGTACTACTCCTGCAAAACTCAAATATTTTAAAGGAGAAGCTTATCCTTAATTTAGAGCACAGAACAATTCTAAGATTAAGTGTGTTTAAGTTTACTACTGCAGTTAAAGTCTTTATTGCCTCAGGTTAAATCTAAAAATTACTTGACTAGGCACTGTCAAGGAGGAAAACACTATTACCCTCAATTTACCCGGCCTACAGGAGAGTCGGAGAGGGACTCTTTGTCAGGAAGTGTAGTGACAGGACAACGGCTAATGGTTTTACATTGGAAGAGGGGAGATTTAAATTAGATGTTAGGAAGAAATTCTTTCCTGTGAGGGTGGTGAGGCACTGGAACAGGTTGCCCAGGGAAACTATGGATGCCCCATCCCTGGAAGTGTTCAAGGCCAGGCTGGATGGGGCTCTGAGCAACCTGCTCTAGTGGGAGGTGTCCCTGCCCATGGCAGGGGGGTTGGAACTCGATGATCTTTAAGGTCCCTTCCAACCCAAACCATTCTGTGATTCTGTGTGATTTATGAACTGGTGACAGGGCTTCACAGAGCCTGTGGCCTTCCACTTTTCCAGCCGGCAAGGTCCTACCAATGCTAAAGAAGAGGCGTAGACCCCTCTGAGGAAGGTTTAGGGCTATGACCAGTGCTTCAGGCTGCTACACTAGCACCCAGGGGACCTCAATCCCACATGACAAGACCATTAGGAAAGGTCTTGGGAAAGCAGGAAAGAACACAGGATTTTTAACGTCCGTCTTCCCACGCCAGCAACATTAGTTAAGAAAACTCAGTGCCCTACTGAGTTTACAGTTGTACCTGTTGGCCATGGGCCCAGTGTGGGCACTGCTGGCGAATACAAAACTCTGAGCCGTTTAACAGATTTTCGGTCCGACCAGAGAAAAAGCAAGCTTGCCATGGGCAGGAGTATTAGATGTCCTGGCACAGTTGTCGTTGGGGAACCTTTCCCGAGGAAAAGCAGGAAAAGAGCGTGCCTGGGTGAAGAGGGGCCAGCGGCGCAAGAGCCCGCGTTTCTGCTATCAACGCCCGGAGCCCGTGATTAATCCCCGGAGCTCACTTCGCCCAGAAAATGGAGGCTCCTTTCGGGGTTCTGTGGTCCGGTGCCACCGCCCCGCACGCCCCGTTCCTTCCCCAGCCCGCCGGAGCCAGGAGGGCTGGGCCCCGCTGGGCCCGCAGGGCAGGCCCCGGCTCCCCGCCCTCAGCCCGTCGCCTCGGGCCCGCCGGGGAACGGAGGGGAACGGGGGGCTCCGCTACCGCCCGCTCTCCCCGAGGGCGCGGCAACGGCGGGTAACGGCCGCCACCCCACCGCCGCGCCCTGAGGGAGCGCCGCCGCGGCCTCGCCAGCCCGCTCCAGGCTGCCGGGCGGGCTCCGCGCCCTCCCCTCCTTCCCTTCCCCGCCACCGCCCTGTCAGGCCGGGGGCCGTCCCGCAGCGGAGCGCCGCGGGGCGGGGCGGGCTGACAGCGCGGCGGCCGGGGCGCGTTGCGGACGGTGGCGTTACTGGAGAGCGGCTGTCAGCGGGCGGGCAGCCATGTGGCGCTGGAGGCTCCTTCCCTCGGTGGTGCTACTCGCCGTCCTGGTCCCTGTCAGAGGTGAGGAGGGGCGGGGGGCGGGGGGCGCTCACCCCGCCGTCCCCTGCTGCCCCGTCGGGGGTGGGAGGGAACGGCTCCCCCTGCTCTGCGTCCCGGGGAGGGGGACCGAGGGCTGCGGAGCCGCCCCGGGAGCCGGGCGCGTCCCGGTGACGGCGGTCCCCAGCTATCAGGGGCAGAGAACGGCGCTTTCTCCCCTCCGGAGCTCTTTGGGGGTTGTTTTTTTTTTCCCCTTTTGACTAACTGGAAAAGTTTTCCTGAGTTTTCCGCCCACGCGGGAAACCCTGTCATGTTTTCGGTGGCCGCGGTGGATCCGGGGGGTGCCGGGGGGTCCCCGGGGCTCGGGGCGGCGGGAGCTCTGCCGCAGCTCGGCTTCCATTTTAGGAAAAAAAGCGGAGTTACGGCGGTTCCAGGGCAAGAGATACTTACTCACCAGAAAGTCTGCTGCCACACGATAGCCTTTTTTTTTTTTTTTTTTTTTTTACTTTCTGTTTTTTTTTTTTCCCTTTAGAAGTCATTACAGCTAATTACCACCAAGGATTTGCTTTTTCACTTTTAATTGTTCACTGGCAGCCATTCAACCAACTTGTACACTCTGACTGTAGTGTCACTGCTTTGGTGTGCGCGTGTTAATAATACTTAGATTTATCCATCCAAGAAAATGTTATCTAAGTATATGTGACAGCATGTATCAGAGTTTTAAAAAACTTACAGTCATGGAAAATATATTTATACTGTACGCTATTGGATCCAGCTAGTAAGCAAATACTTTCCCTTTCCTATGTTTTCATTTTCTTCCTTCACCTATAAAATGAAAGAGAAATGAGGGAAGTGGAACAGCCACAGTGAACAAACTGCAGCGCTCCCCACTTCTGCCTCCCTCTTCCATCTCCTCCTCAAAGACAGGCGTCCAGCTTCCTCCACACTGGTGGACAGATCTTCACAGCAGAATGTGTGATGTTTCCTTCCCCATTCCTCTCTCTTAAGAAGCTCTTTCCCTTTTTGTTAGTGGTAGGACAGTCGATATAGGAGGAACTGGAAGCAGTACAAAGTGTCTTATACACCCATGGGATATTTCACTGGCCATCTCCAGGGATTTTTGCTTTCTATCATGTAGGTCCCGGAGAGTCAAGCTTAAAGAGTTCAGAGCATATTTTCCTGTTTTGACTAATCATAAATATACAGTCCTTTACCTCTAGGCTGCTTTTTTTTTGCCTTTTTTTTTTTTTTTTTTCTTTTTAAATAAATTATTATTGTGGCAAAACTGCAGTGTAAAACACACCAGTGCATTTTCCCATTTTCTCATGGCTTCAGTGTGTGTCAGGTACGATTTTCTTGAACCCTGATCGAAACGGTGTGTACGTAACAGCGCATTGGTATTTGGGATGACGAAACGAGTTTGGGTGGGGTAGAAAAGTAACGAAGTTCCCAATACCGAGGTGGTTGGTTTGGTTTTTTCCTGGAGAAAAAAATCCTAAACTGGAATATGCAGTGCAAACTGTTATTAGCCCATTTGTATGACTTAGTTCTAACAAGCTTTTTTTTTTTTTTTTTTTTTTTAATAACCACACTTGGTGCTATGTCTAAGTATTTTCTTTCAGGTACTTTGTAAAAGTTATACTTCAAAACTTAAATATCTGTCTCTTCACTGTCAGGGGGGAGGAAAAAGAACGGTTCCTAGCTTTGCCTGGAAGCTGTAGATGCTGGCAGTAGGATGCCTGATAAGCAGTTTGGCTTAAAGCTGGTTTGAATTCAGTTCTGCTGTGGGCTTATTGTGGTCTTAACTGCAAGGTTAGCAAAACCGAGCTGAGATCTTGGAAAAAGTAGCACAATTTTACAGTAACTGCCTTTAAAACTGATAGATTATTCAGGCTGCTATTACTGAGATATCATTTTACTACTTATGTGGAAAACTTGCTCCTCTACCTCTGCAAACAGTCCTCATGGTCGTGGACAGTAAGATCTTTCGTGTGGTGCTCTGAAGTTAGTTTGGAGTGATGCTTGGAGTTACTCAGAAATATTTTTTTTCTAAACTTGCTGCCAAGAAGTGTGGAGGTGAAGAGAGTCTCTCTGGTTTATGCTTTACTGTAAGGAAGGCACTCAAAAACTGCCTGAAGGGGTTTTGTTTCAAATTCAAAGGAAAATGATGCTACATTTTTCACAGCTTGCTCTTTAAAAGCTGGTTAATGTATCTGAGTACTGGTTAATACCAATAATACGACCAAGTACATAGGTTATAATGAGTTTGGATGCTTTTTCCTTAAACAAAATATGTAGGAATTTGAGAACTGTTGAGAATGTCAGCCTGGGGAGGGCGGGGCTGTCCAGGGGAATTTCAGATTTGTGGTGGTGCAATCTTAAATTAAAATATAGCCAAAACCTGAATTCCATACTTCTGAAATTTTGATTTTACTGTTGGTGAGCTATCTGTAGTCTGCATTTGTAGAACTGCTGTAGAAAGTTAAGGATCTTACCTTATAAACAGTTCACCTGTTGTGTGATGGTTTGGAGGTGACTGGTTTCACTGGGGCTGCTTGCCCTCATGATACAAGCAGACATGTCTATGGCTCGGGACTGAGAACTTCTCATGGAATCATCCATTTAAGGCACGTGAAAGCTGTTAGTGTTAAAACAATATTCAGCATATCACGAGGCTTTGAATCTATTATTAAGCAAGGGCGAACTTTGTTATTTGAGCTTGCTTAAAAAAAGAGCTTGTGGTTTTAACCTCAAAACTGGTGTTTGAATGTTGTCTCGTTTTCCAAGTATGAGCTCTGCAAGTCAGGCAAAGCTGGAATTTAGATATCATTGGGGATGGGCCCAGAGCGAGGGCAAATGGGGTTTCTATAGACAGTCTGTCAGCTTGCCCCTGCTGAATCATAGAATCACAGAATGGTTAGGGTTGGAAGGGACCTCAAAGATCATCGAGTTCCAACCCCCCTGCCATGGGCAGGGACACCTCCCACTAGAGCAGGTTGCTCAAAGCCCCATCCAGCCTGGCCTTGAACACTTCCAGGGATGGGGCATCCACAGCTTCCCTGGGCAACCTGTTCCAGTGCCTCACCACCCTCATAGGAAAGAATTTCTTCCTGATATCTAATCTGAATCTTTTTTCTTCTAATTTAAAACTGTTTCCCCTTGTCCTATAATTACCCTTCCTGGCAAAGAGTCCCTCCCCAGCTCTTCTATAGGCACCCTTCAGGTATTGGAAGGCCACTATAAGAGTGGGATGTTTCCATTTCTCTCCTCCCGTGTTTGGCCCGGTGCCCATCGTGGCCCCTACTGAGATGATTCAGCTCGTTAAGTCAGCAGGTGAGTCATGTGGTGCCTTGAGTGTGCTGTGCAGAGTGTTTGATGGGTGCCGGAGCCAGCGCGAGGGAGTGGCAGGGCCAAGCATCCGCCAGTGGAGCTGGGGCGGCAGCCGGGGAGGAGGGAGCTGGAGGCTTCCTGCTTCCCCCGGCTGCACCGTGCGGGACTGGCTCGGCCATCTCACAACTGCAAAGCCACCGGGTTAGCACAGCGTCTCATGGCAGGCATCTGCTTTTCAAAATACAAAAAAAAAATGAAAAGTATTAAGCAGCAGACCTTCTGTATAATTTCGATGAAGAACGCAGCAGAAGGAGAATTGAACAAGAACATCTGTACATGATGAACGGCAGAAAACTGCTGCATGCAGACAAAAGGCTCCAAAGCTTCCCTTATCTGTTGTAGAAAGATCAAGGCATTAAAAGCTGTCTTCTTACTAACGGTCTTGAGTATGGACTCAGTAATAGATGCTTTAAATCTCCTTTGCAAGAAATGCGTAGAGCTTGTTGAGTGAAACACACTTTTGTGCTAGTGAACACCGTGAGGTGAGCAAAACACACACCGGAAGCAGAGGTATCTGTGCTGGAAGATCAGTAGCCTAAGGTGAATTGCAAGTGGAGATTCCTTATTTGTAAGACCGCTGTAATTACAGGGCTATGAGCAAAGGGAAGGAAACCCTTGTGCCTCTGACTTCTTGTTGGGGCAAGTCAGCCTTTAGAAAAAAGACCAGTTGGATTAGAGACAGTGAAGTGAGCCTGTCTGTACTGCAGTAGGTGGAGCTTTCAGCTGGGGCAGGGAGGTGGCACAGGGACTCCTGGAGGCTTATCTCTGCTTTATGGGTTCTGGAGTTGTTTGCCTTTTGAATCTGATTAAAAAGAAAAAAAAACAACAACCAAACCAACAAAACAAAACAACAGCCACCCACCACACAGCTTTCTTCCAGTTGAACAATTTCAGTAGCAGTGCCAGTGTGCATGCGACAGTGTAAACTTCGGAAGTGCAGCACAGGTTTCTCCATCTTTCTGTTTCCTCTAATTCGAAATGGGCAAGAGGCGTTTTTTATGTGTTGTTTTTTATATAAAATGGCCACCGCACTGCTACATCAAAATGACATCACTGCAACAATCCCTAAGCTTTCCGCAGTTACAGTGATTTAACTTGGCAAGAGTTAAGTGTGACTCAGCCTACTGCCATCCAGCCAAGACCAATTTCAATATTTTCCTGATGTTACTCTGGTGCTGGGGTTGCCTGCACTTGAGAAAGGACTCTGCTTTAACTCTTGCTGTCTTGAACCTCTCACTGCAATCAGCTTGTTTCTTACTGGGTGACAGCTGTGTTAGTGAAATGCAGTAATAATGGTAATCTTCATCAGTTAAGATCATCTTGCCAGGGGCAAGTCTTTTAGCCAAACTGCTTTTCCATGCTCCAGGACGGGAACCTACTCTTTGGAGTCTAGTAAAAGTGTTTTGAGAGAATGTTGTGAGCAAAACAGCCTCTTGGAGAACTTACATTAGCTTACTGTCAGTTAACACTTACTTCTAATCATTGTCTTGGGAACTGAGAGAAAGAAAATCAAACCTCTAACATCCTCCTCTTTCCCTACTTTCAACTTAAGCCAAACCCCCCCCTAGTCACCCCACCACAACTTCCCTGGTTTTCTCTGCAGTTTGTGCTTAGCCCATCCCCTGCTCCTTTGG